GCCTGGCCCGCCGAGGTGTAAGCACGACCAGCGAGGGCTGAAGTCGTTCGGCAGGGCTTCGAGGGATGAGCGGCCTTTGCCTTCCATCCGATGGCAGAGGGGGGGCAGAGATGTGCAGCCACTGCTTCGTCCAGAGGAGGCAACTTATTGTAGCCCTTCTGTGCAGCACCGTCGACCGTAGTGAGGGCGGGAGAGACAGAGGAGCATAAATGAGCTGAGTAGGGGGCACGCCACGACTTCGTCAGCTCATCGTGAACCTCTGGGAAGAAGGGCGCAGCTCGCTGAGGAGGGTTCTGGCGGCGTCCCGGCAGAAACCACTCGTCTAGGCGGCTGCGAGTGGGTTCTTCAGGCGAAGACCACTCCAATCCGAGCTCCTCGACGGCTTTTGATAGTACACGGATGAGCTCGGTGTCCGTACCAACCCTGGTGTCGATCGGCTCTGCAGACGGCAAGGGGGCGGGGTCAGCAATGGAGCCCGATCAATCCTCAGCATCCGAGGCTGCTAGTGTCCAGACGTCATCCGATCCCCCAAACGAGACCAGGTCATTCGCGATGGCAGAGGGGTGCTGGTCTGGATGGGAGAACGAGACGGGGGAAACCTCTCTTTGTGGAGAGAATGAGGCCTTGAGCCGACGTAAGCTCACTCGCCCCGCTGTTTTTTCCTCACAGGTTCCTGGGAGGAAGGAAACGGGGGGGCGCAAGGGGCGGGGTCGCTTTCTGAAAAGAAAGCTATCCGCGAACGCAAAGAGGCGAGACTCATGCTCTCGCAGTGGGAGCATGACGTCTCAGTGAGCGCAGCATCTGCGTGGGATTCCCCAGACATCGCACACATTCACTGTTCCCGTCATCAGCGTGCAGTGGTGTCCTGCACGAGCCACAGCCGTAGCGCGACATTTGCAACAACGTCGCAGGAAATTTGCTCAGAAATTTGCTCTTTTTTTGTTACCACAAGCAGGAAAGCGTCAACACAGGCGCTCTGCAGACGGCTCGTGAGCGAAGCGCTGACTGGGGCTGCCTTGAGAGCGACGCGGGAACAGAGCTGCTTGAAGCGGCGATCTGATCCGGTTCTGCAAAGCGGCACACTGATCAGTGCTGCTTGAGAGCTGCGAGCGGCGAGCTGCAAGCGGTGAGCAGAGAGCAGAGGCGGCGAGCTGATCTTGCTGCTGTAGAACGGCGGCTGGATCAGCTTGCAGGCGAAGGCTTCAAATCTCGTAGAATCAGCGAAGAGCAATAGATGTCGTCACTGAAGGAGAAATAATCAGTGATCCTATGCCGAGCACCTGCTTATATAGCCAGATGCACCGCCCATTTTGGCGGGCTCGGGCGCGCTGCTTCGCCATAGGCTTGCGCAGCTCCGCTGCGCCATCATTGGTTAATTTCTGAAACAATGGCAGTGCAGATGCACTGCTGTGATTGAAAAAAAGGCTTCAGTAAATCGGAGAAAAGGACTTTCCCGTAGTGTCTAGCGACGCAGTACGAAGTGAAAGTATCGAAAGGGAACTAAATATGTTGCTGAAGCACCTTTACAGCCTCAAGTCTTTTTTGTTTGATGCAACAAGCTTTGCTCACAGAGTTGTCTATAAGCCACTCTTGCTGTGTGCTTAGGGTCATTGTCCTGTTGGAAGGTGAACCTTCTGCACAGTCTGAGGTTCTGAATGCTCTGGACTGGGTTTTCATTAAGGCTATCTCAATATTTTGGTGTGTTGAGCTTTTCTTCTACTCTGACGAGTTCCTCAGTGCTACCAGCACACTTTATTTTTGAGATGCTACTCTGCAGGTGATGAGCAGTGCCTGATTTCCTTCAAACATGATGCTTGGAATTGAGTTTCATCAGACCAGAGAATATTATTTCTCACAGTCTGAGGGTCCTTTAGTTGCTTTTTTGCTAATTCTAAGTGTGTTTTCATGTGTCTTCACTGAGGAGAGGATTGAGTCTGGTCACACCAGCATAAAGCACAGATCGGTGGAGAGTTGCAGTGATGTTTGGCCTT